TGGAGACCCACTTCGGATACAGGGATTCCCTAATGAAGCCATTGTCAATCAGTTTCTTGACTTCGTCCTTCATGGCTTTATATCTTTCTGGGTTGAGGGCTCACCTTTTTTGTCTGTGAGCCGTGGCTTTCGGATAAATATTCAGGTGGTGGTAGCTGACCTTTGGGTCGACGCATATCATGTCGTCATGCTTCCAGGTGAATACATCAAGGTTTTTGTACAGGAAATTTTTCAACTTCTACTAGTGGTGTCAACGAGCCGAGCTCGAACCGGGAAAAAAAGCTCCAGTCGAGCCCGAACTTTTTTGGGCCGAGCTTTTTTTGGCCCGCTGAACCGGCTCGAGTTTTTTTTAAAATATAAATTGCAAAAGTACGTAATAAAGGTCATTGTAACTTGTAAAGGTGTAATTTTATGAAAAAGTGACTAGATTTTAGTAGAACACATTGGAAGTTGATAAATATTTATATTCTCATTAAGACTAGGTAAAGTTATTTGCTTAGTTATTTGTTATTTCAAAAGATATGCCGCTACTTCAATACTCATAATTAAAAAAAAAATTGTATATTTTATGCGTATTATAAATTAAAGAAATTATAAAAATTTTTTATATATATAAAAATTGCTCGCCGAGCCACACGGGCCAGCCTTAGCCTCGGCTCGGGCTTTTTTCCAGCCGAGCCGAGGCTCTTTGTTGAGTCCATATGATTAGCTGGGTAGGTTTCAAATTCCTCCATTGGAGCCGTTTGAGGCTCGCAATCAATTATGCGGGGGTCCAGTTTTTCCAGATTGATTGCTTCCACAGCAATTGATCATTTTTCAGGAACTTCAGTCATGAGGACGTCTTCTCCTTATTCAGGGGTGTTCCCTTGTTCAGGGAGGTCATCCATATCAACGTCAGCAAAGATCACGTATGTCCTTGTTTCACCTTTTCTCAGGGAGTTAGAGTAGCATTCTCTAGCTCCTCTCTGATCTCCAAGAATTGTGACGGTACCGTTTTCGGTAGGGAACTTTATGCACAAATGGTGGATTGAGGTGACAGCCCATAGTTCCTTTAAGGTGGGTCTTCCAAGCACCCCATGATAGGCGAATCGGTTATCCACCACAAGGAATTCCATAAAATGGCGAGCGATCTGGGTTATACCCCTATCTCTATTACTAGAGTGATCTTGCCCCTAGGGATGATACTATCCCCTGTGAAACCATACAAGGGGGAACTTATTGGGGTAAGCTCGTGGTCGACTTTCATCTTGTCAAAGGTGGTGCCAAACAAAATATAAACTGAGCTTCTATTATCCACGAACATTCTTTTCAGGCCATTGCGGGCTACGACGACCCTTATCACTAAGGCGTCACGGTGAGGATCATGTACACCCATCGTGTCCTCCTGAGTAAAAGTAATTGGAGGTGAGACTCCCCCTTTTGCAGATTGATTTGCTATGTAGCTTTTCATAGTGGGGTCGACTGCCTCCCTGGCATAATTCTTCTGAGAGTTTCTGGAATCTCCACCCATATGAGGACCACCAATGATAGTATCAATTTCTCGGATGGGCTCATGTTTATTGTCTAGGGGGTATCGTCGCTGTATTTGGCCATCCCTGGGTTCTTCGATGTCATTGTCCCTCCCTCGTGGAGGGTCGGTCCTGTTAGGCCGACGTTGTTCATTGTTCTGAGGCCGTGGGTTTTGCCTATCGGGAACATTTCTTGGGAGGAACCTTGCAGTATCTTGGCAGTCCTCTATCCATTAGACTAGTGATACGAGCAATATTATGGTGCCTCGTTCCTATTTCTGGGTTTAGCACCTCGCCCCCTTTGTGAATTCTTTGGGTTGGGCTGATGCGGGCGCTGCTATGATTGACTTCTTCGTAGGCAATGATAGGTACTGCATTGAGTGTCGCAGCAGCAAGTTCATGTCCATGATTCATTGGGGCTTGATTATCCATCAAATGGAGGTGGGACCTCTTCTTTTCGTATTTATGGAGGCGGCAAACCTTAGCTAGCCCTATTTCTATGATTTTTCATCTCCTCGTTCAAATTTTGTGCCTTATCATCTTCAACAATGCATCATAGGTGGCAGGGTCTTTATTTTGCACATCTCTCCAGAAAAGAGAGTTCATGTCTAGACCGACCCTTCGGGCAGTCAAAGCTTCTTTATCCATGACTTGCACACAATATGCCATTTCATCTATAAAGCGCAAAGTAAAACTTTTTAGCGATTTACCTTGTTGTTGTCTCATATCTTGC